TTTTTTTTTTTTTTTGGCAGGAGGTCATAGTAGCTTTGTAATACATATTTCATTGTTTACCTACGGTTGCTTTTACTGGCCTAGGTCTCTTCTTGTTCCATGTAAGTTTTAGAATTGTTTTTTCTAGTTCTGTGAAGAATGCTGTTGGGGTTTTAATTGGGATTGCATTAAATCTGTGTATAAATAAGTATGGCCATCTTGACTGTTTTGGTTTTAACTATTTATTAAAAAACGGGGTATCTTTCTGTTTTCAGAAGTCCTATTTGATTACATTTTACAGAATACTATATTTTTCACCATAGAGTTCTTTCACTTGGTTAGTTTATTTCCTAAGTAGTTTTTCTTGTTGCTATTTTCAGTGGTATTTTCTCCCTAATTTCTTTCTCAGTGGGTTCATTATTAAGGTAAAGAAATGCTATTGATTTTTGGGTGTTGACTTTATATCCTGCTACATTACTGAATTTGGTTATTAATTTTAAGAGATTTTTTGATGTATTTTTTGAGGTGTTCCAGGTAGAGGACCAGGTCATCTGCAAATAATGGTGTTTTGACTTCTTTTCCTATGTATTTCACTTTTATTTCGCTTTTTTGCCTACTTGCTGTGCCTCATGTTTTCTAATTTTTTTTTAAGTTATTTATTTATTGGATACAGGATCTCACTATGCAGTTCAGACTTATAGTGATCCTTCTGTCTCAGCCCCCCCAGCACTGGGATTACAGGCATGTGTTACCATGCCGGGTTTCAGAACCAGCACCATGCACCTGGGTTTCAGAGCCATCACAGCATGTGGTATCAGGATCAAACTCAGGTCTTTGAGCTTGCCAAGCAGGCAGTTAGACTACTTGGCTATCTCCCCAGCCCCTGCCTAATGTTTTGAGTATTGTGTTGAACAGAAGTGTGGATAGTAGACATCCTTGTCTTGCTCCTGATTTTAGAGGGAAAACTTTCTCATTTTTTATGGGAATACAATGTTGGCAGTAGGTTTGTTATAAGTGGCTTTTATCAGATTCATGTGTATTTTCATCATGGAAGGATTTTATCAAAGACTTTTTGTGTCTGTTGAAATGATCATGTGATTTTTATAAGAGCTTTTGTTTTATGTGATATATTACATTTATTAATTTGCAAATGTTAGGATATCTTTGCATGCCTGGGATGAAACCTGCCTGCTTTGTCCATGATTTATGATCTTCTTAATTCATTTGTATTATGTTTGCCAGTATCTTTTTTTATTATTATTAATAATAAAACACTTCATTGTAAACTTCTCCAGAATATAAACTGATTTTGTATCAAGACTCTTTGAAACTTTTAGAACTGTATGTAACATAAGCTTATTATTATTATGTATTCATTTTCCAACTTAGACAATATACTGCAAGTTAACAAGGAGAAAAAGAATCTAAACTGCTTTATAAAGAAAACCAAAAAACATAAAAATACCCAACGCAAAGCTAAAAATAAATCCAATCAAGAAATAAATTCTACAAGGCCTATTAGTCCTCCAAGTTAAAATAAATTATTTCCCAAGAGAAAATAATTCCACCATCATGGCAATTTCAGTAAACCAGAACCACTCTCCTAAAGGGAAATTTTATCAAATGTAAGAAAATTGTAATAATGTTTTAGGAAAATGAGGAAAAGTAATTTCTATGTTGGAGAATAAGCATACTAAACACTTGATGTTCACCTGGCCTTTGTTAGAATTCAACCACTTGTTCACTTGTGTGATATGAACACGAATACCATAAAACCAAGCTCCTTAACTATTTTGTTCAGTTTTAACCTTAGGAGAAACAACCTAAGAGCTTCAAAATTCAAGGATAGGCTGGTCGCAAAGCATTTCTTCCTCTGTTCTTTCCTTGCCTTGCTCCTTTTTCTCTTTTCTGCGCTTCTGGTCCTC